AGGCACGAAAGGCAGAGACAGGAGGGAACAGTGCTTTAGGTACCAACAACAGTCTGGCACAAAAGCCCTGAGCAAGGGGAGCCTGGAGAGACTGGAGGAGAGAGGAGAGAGAACTATCTGAGTTCTTGCTTTGCCAGGGCTCAGTGCCGAGGGCTGTATATGCCACCTCACTGACCCTGTGAGACCTGTGCTGCCTCATGAGAGGAGAGACTCAGAGCGACTCCATATCACCCATATCCAAGCAACAACAAAATGGTCCTTTTCCTCTTTGTATTTTCTCTGAAAGACAACACGGACTACATATCGTGGGGAGACACTAAAAACTAGTGGGGAAAACAAATGACCAAACCAGTCCCTGAGCCCTCAGGCAGTCTCAGGGCACCCGACACAGTGTGCTAGTTGTTCTTTCTTCTTTCATTCTTTTCCCCCTTCTTCCTTCCCTCTCTCCCTTTCTTGGGAAAGTAGCAAAGAAACTCTATTCAAAGCAAAGGTCCTAAAATGCATTGTCCAGTGGGGAGGGAGGGCTGTGATCTGAATAAATTGTATGAAAATTTTTTCAACAACAAGAAAAAGCAAAACAAAACAAAAAGAACTGTCCACACAATCCCCCTTAGTGATTCTGCTCCCTGAACTCTATCAAAGGAAGCCTCAGACAATAGCTGGCATTCCTAAGCACTCTTGTTTAGATGGCCCAGTATCAGTCCTGGCTGGTTAGCCCACTCTGACCTGCACTGTGTTTCTGCTTTGGATAAAGTCATTTTGCTTCTTTTGTAAAAAGAAACAAAACAAAAGAGAGAGAAGAAGGAAAGAGAGACAACGGCCACACGAGTGAACAACCAGGTTATAAGTACAGGGCCATGACCGTCTAGATTTCCACTTTTCAAATACTGTGCTCACAAATTTCAGCTGAAAACACCAGACCAAAAACAAGTACTTTTAAAATCATGTATATATTTTGGTGTACTACATGTTTTGACCCATTGTGGGATGGCTAAATCAAGCCCCACCTCACACATTATTTTATGGTGAGCCCTCACAATCTATTCTTTTAACAATTTTCAAGTCTGAAACATTGTTATTGTGCTGGCAAGATGGCTCAGCAGGTAACAGTGCTTGCTGCCAAGCCTGACAGCCTGAGTTCCATCCCTAGGACCCACATGATGAACAGAGAGAACTCACTCCTATAAGGTGTCCTCTGATCTCCACACAACCAGTGGACACAGACACAGACACACAAAATAAAATAACTCAAGTAACCATGTCAGCTATTTACTATATCTTACAAAATTTCCACATAAACCATGAATCACCATGGCAACCATAAAGGGGGGCAGCATGGATAAACCAGCCATAAGAACAAAAAGCTTAAAGTGTTGGAGTATATAGCAACCCTGGTGGAATCATAAACGTGCTAGGTGCAATTCAGGCTCCTAATCACAACTCTAGTGTATACAGAGCCATGGAAAGGGACGCTAGGGCAGGCACATCATCCTAGTTGCCGAGTATGAGAGAGTGAGTGCAGTGGGTTAGGCTCCCTGGAAGAACTACAGGGAAAAGAGCCCTCACTTTATGAGGAAAAAAGACCCTGAAAAGCTAATTGAGTTGCCTTGTTTCTGGCCTCCTATGCTTTGACAGCTAATAAGTAATTGTTTTGTTCCCTAGTTCCGTTTATGAAAACATAACTAAGGAACAGACACCTCTCCATATCATGCCAATATTTCTTGGAGGAAGAGGCTCACTCCTGCTTCAGAGTACCTGCAACATGGCGCCTATGTTAGCTGTTTCTCCTGCCTGGAAGGCTCTCTCCTCTGGTGTGGATAGGGCTGGCTCTCTCTCTCTCTCCAGTCTTCCAATCTCACCTTGATTCAGCCCACAGGTCTACCCACACCAAAGAACCTGACCTTGTGGTCAGTCTCTACCACATCACCTACTATCACTTTAACCTGTTTATCTCTTACCACCATCCAAAACAACCTGCAGTTCATTACTTCCTTATACTCCCCCCCCTCCCTTGATGGAACATTCATGAAGGCAAACTCAGATGGGTTTTATTTACTAAATACCTTGTGAGTGAAACAGCACCAAGCCAAGCAGGCAATCCAAACATACAGCTGGTTCAGTAAGTGGGCATACAGTATATGATTATTCCACGCCACAATCTGTTCGGGAAAACCTAGGGACATTACACATTACCAGCAATCTTCAGATGCAAGCACACGGACATGAATGCAGTTAATAGCATGAAGAACTCAACAGGTCAAGTCTGAACTGGCTTTTCATAGCAGCTAGCGAAACTCTTTCCCATATCACTCTCTATATAATTTTCCCCACCCCTTTTAAAGTTCTGCTGTTTTACTTTAAAAAAAAAATAAAAAAAAACCTTAGGTGTGTGTGTGTTGAGGCCAAAGGCATTATATTCCCTGGACTTGGTGTACAGCTGGGTATGAGTCACCTGGTGTAGGTACTGGAAACTGAACTCAGGCTCTCCCTTGATAGGAGCAACAAAAGCTCCTAACTGCTAAGCCATCTTCTATAAATATAATAAATAAAAATAACACACATAGAAAGTGATGAAGGAAGAGACCTGAGGTCAACCATTGGGCTCCACATGACACACGCACACATTTTCTTTCACCCTAAAATAAGCCAACAGGAAAACACATCCCCCAAACAGCCTAATAACATATATGTAAAACATTCAATCCCCCAGTGGAAATTACTACTATACTTGCTGATAATAATTTATCACCCAGTTGATAAATACTACTATACTTGTTGTGATTACCTATCACTCAGTTGATAAATACTAGTATACCTAGGGGTATCTTTCTAGCCCTTTTCTCCCCCACAAAAAAGTTTTCTGTAATTTTGCTACATATGCTGAAATTCAGCAAGTCATTATTATGATCATAATAGAGGCATAGCTATGTTTCACCAGACATCAGCAGGAAAGGAAGAGCTAGTGAGAGCAAAGCACAAAAGTGTGAGATGAACCACCCAGGACTCCGGTACCCACAAGGCTGAGGCAGGAGGATCTCAAGTTCAAGACCAGCCTGCATTACACAGTGAACTCAAGGGAAACTTAAGCTCTGTTACATGACGTGATCAAACAAGGAAATAAATAACAACACAACTCCATGAAGCAGCCCAGTGATGTAAGTGCATGCAATGGCAGGGACCAAGGGACTAAGCACCCAGGGAGCCAAGATGTGGTCCACTTTGTGCCCGGAGCACTCAGAGTGTGTCAGTAAGAGCAGAGTATGCGCAACCTTTTCCTGTTTCTGACTCAGTCAACCCTAGGAATGAAGACAATGTCAAGATGCCCTATTATGCAACGGTAACACCTTCAAGCTAGCGAGTGTGGAGCCCCAAGAAGGGCTCATTTGTTCCAAACTAAAAGTGTGAGTGAGGTGCCTCACTAATTGTCTCCCTGAGAAACAAGATGGCAGGTTGAAGTCTGATGGCTCAAACAGTCACATTCAGAGCCAGCAAGGACAGTTCAGGGGGACTTTGTTCATTAGTGGGCCTGCAGACTCACAACTTCATAAGCCACATGTTTTCCCTCACTATTGAAATCCCAGTAAGTTTTTGCTTTGTTTGAGATGTGGACTGTGCTGGTCAACTTGATACAAGGGTCAGCCATCTGGGAGGAGGGAAACCTCAACTGAGAGGACATCTCAATTGAAAGACCCGCTCGAAATGCCCCTGAGCCCCCTGCCCCGAAGCTGCCGGGGCCTCCCAAGCCTTCACCCCGCAGGGCTCGCGCCCCCGGCCTGCCCCGCCTGGCACCACGCCTCGGG